TCATCTTTAATTCCAATTCGAAATAGGTGGTATGGGGTTAAACAATGGATAGTTCTCATCCGTATGATTGTGGAACGGTACCTTCTTCCATTGCATTGTTTACTATTAAACCACGGAGTTTTGGGTATTTCAGGGATCACTTGAAAGTAAAAATATGTTTTCTTTTAGTGAATTCCATTATTAAAACCATTTATTCCAAATTTCTTGTTTGATGAAGGGTAAAAGGTTAGACTTATTGAGTTTAATATTTACAGGAATTTTAAGGATTCTCCTCATATTTGCTAATTGATCGGCTTTATGGTTGCCAATAACGCCGGAGTGCCCTGGAATCCATGCCAAAGTGATGTGGATGTTATTCATATTAGCAAGTAAAAAACCTTGTTTTGTTAGAAATGAGCAATGATTAGTTTCTGTAGAGAATTTCATGTTTCAAATTTTTTGTAAATCAGATTTGGAGTCCGAGAAAATAACTGAGTTCAAGATATTTTTTTCTAAAATTATTTGCAAGACATGGTTAATTGCAATAATTTCTGCAGTACATATTTGTGTATGTTGAAGTAGTCTGCTTGAGAACACGTTAGTTGAGGTCTGGAGAAAATACTGTGAAGCCTGAATCATTAGAAGATCCCACAAATCCGTCGGTGAAGAATTTTGTTTAACCGGTTCGCTTGTTTATTGTGTCAGTAAAAATGGATAAGCCATAATGTCATCCCTAATTGATCTAAAATTTAAAACTGGAATTGGAGACAGTTGGGTGTCCAATTCAAATTCATGGCATGGCAGCAATTCATTAGAGTACATATTTGAGTGGAACTCTTCCATTTGGTTTATTAAACTTATTAATACTGGAGTGTCAGTTACCTTTTTGTAAACATCTCTTTCTTTATTTAGTGTTGCCAAATGTTTTAAGGAATTGGTGACAGGGTTAAAATTACTGTTTTATTATGTAAAATCATGTTCTAAAGCCGCTATCATTTCTAGATATTGAAAAGGGTAGAAACCACCCTCTGAATTAGAAAATATATTTTATAGCTAACCAGAAAAATGTATCAACCTAAAAGTTACGCTAGAATTACTGTTTTATTATGTAAAATCAGCTTCTAAAGCCGCTATCTTTTCGAGAAATTAAAAAGGGTAGAAACCACCCTCTGAATTAGAAAGTATTTTTATAGCTAACCAGAAAAATGTATCAAATTAAAAGTTACGCTAGAATTACTGTTTTATTATGTAAAATCATATTCTATAGCCGCTATCATTTCGAGAGATTGAAAAGCGTAGAAACCACCCTCTAAATTAGAAAATATTGTTACGCAGCAAACTGCAGTAGCCTGCAGCTGTTATAGGAAACGTGCGAATACAGCGTGCTGCGGTCGTCATAAGTAAAGGTACGAGTAAAATAAGAAGGGGGAATATTTGAGAAATGTCATTCCACGTCAAGAAAAATCTGGACAGTCCGAGGTTCGAGAAGGGTCAAGCAAGTTATATAAGTCGATGATCCTGACCATATTTTTCAGTTTTATGTTAGACGTTATATGTTAATGTTATCAGTTGTATAGTTGTAAAAGTTGAGTTGAAATAAAATGAGATACCAAAACCTGCGTAACATTGGTGACAGCGGTGGGATACAAACTAGAAGTTCATGGTAAATACTAGATCCACTGAGTACGAAACAGGCATGGATACTTCAGGTCCTCCAGCATGGTTTTTGAAGATGATGGAGGAAAAGGAAAGGCGTAGGAAGGAAGAAGAGAAGGAAAAGGAAAGGCGTAGGAAGGAAGAAAAGGAGGCAAAGGAAAGGCCTGGGAAGGAAGAAGAGGAGGAAAAGGAATAGGAAGGAAGAAGAAAAGAATAGGAACAGGCGAGAAGAGCAGAAGGAGGAGAGGCATAGAAAAGTAGAGGTTGAGATTATAAATGGCTTAGTCCAAATTCAAGAAAACCTTAAGCAAGAGGTAGGTCATCTGAACAGTCGAATAGATCTCTTAGCACAACAAGAGAGTTTAAAACAACAAGGAACGGCTAGAATACAGTTAGAAAGGCAAATTAGAACTGAATTAGTTGAATTAAATGAATCCCTAGCTTTGGCAAGCAACAGAGAAACAGCAAACACTACCTCGTCCTCTTCTATAACCGAACCAAGCCATATCCAAAACCCAGTTTCACAAAGCCATACTAGCAAGGCCATTAAGCCACCCACGTTTGACGGTCAGACAACATGGGAAACGTATCGACTTCAATTTGAAGCTGCAGCTAGAGCCAATACCTGGACCGAGAAAGAGATGGTGGCTTCATTGATAGTGTTGCTGCGATGACAGGCAGCAACTGTTTTACAGTTACTTCCCCAAGGGGAACCCAGTTATTCATCTCTCGTCCAAGCTTTGGAGACAAAATATGGCCAGCAGCATTTGAAATGGGTATTTCAAAGCCAGCTTAAGGTTCGTAATCAGAAACATAATGAGAGTTTACAGGAATTCGAAGCCGACATAAGAAGATTGATTTATCTGGCCTATCCACAGGTGCCCAAAGATTTCCAAGAACAAATCGGAATACAGGCATTTATTGATGGACTACAAGATGTGGAAATGCAGCAAGCCCTTCGTCTATAACATCACAAGACGATGAGGGAGAAACTAATTGCAGCCCAGGAATATGAAGCGGTAAAACTTCTGTCCAGATCTTTTCGCGAAAGTGTGAGAGAAATTAAATCCCAGGAAAGTGAGGAGGCCAATACTAATCCTATTCTCCAACCTACACTCTCATAAATCTTAAATATCCTGCAAAATATACAACAAAACAACCAAAATGGAAGCAGGAGATGCTTTAATTGCAAGGCTCGCTCTATAAATCAAGAATCGGGGAATACGGCCAAAAAGTCTCATAGATCAATCTCCCGAAGCCCGTCACGAAGTCTAAAAAGAAATAATTACAGCAGCTATGCGTCCCGGAGAAGCCGATCACCCACACCTAGCCGGCTTTCTAGCAATAACCAGGAAGTAGAGCATCGAAGAGCCCGTCTCCATAGCAACGTAGACATTCTCTCCAGGCCCTGTTTAGAACGAGAATGCCGGTACAGTAAAGGACTTTGAGAACGAGGGGAACCGGTTGACAAAGTTACTCTTCGGGCAACCACCATCAAGCCAGAGGGCGAAGAAGAAATCACCCTTGAAAGCTTTAGAAAGGGGCAGAAGAAAGACAATATCTTAAAGATTGTCTGAGAATGGCTCAAAAATAAGGTCACACCTACTTGGCAAGAGATGGCCAAATACAGTGGAGCTATTAAAGGGTACTGGACTCAGTGGGATTCCCGGTATCTTCACGATGGCCTATTGCTCCGGAAGTGGGAGAGCCCCGATGGAGTACATGTAGCCTGCCAAGTGGTACTGCCGAAATCACATGTCAGAAGTGTGTTAAAGGAGCTTCATAGCACTAGCAGCCGTTCGGGAGAACATTTTGGTACTAAAAACATTGGCACGAGTTCGAGAAAGATTTTATTGAGTCAATTGCCGCCGGGATGTAGTGGATTGGTGTAAAAAATGTTATGTATGCAATGGCAGGACAAAGGTCTACGGATTCTCTCAGGAACGACTGAAAACCACCAGCGATAAAGCAGAAACTAGAATCGATAGGCGTGCCACAGGGATATATTTTGAGAGAGGCGACTCAATACGGCTATACAATCCCAATGACCGAGGAGGACTTTGTCAGAAATCGCAACGGAACTGGAAATGCTCCTTAAGGAAAATCAACGACCTGATCTACCGCATTCAGGTGTCAGCGGGAAGTAAATCTAAGGCTAATCTAAAGTTAGCGCCATATCGTAGTTCAGATCCTCCCCGTTTGCTCCAACCAGGTCCCAGTAATCAAGTTATTCGGGGCGAATAACTAGAGAGGAGAGAGCAATGTTACGCAGTACCCTGCAGCTGTTATAGGAAACGTGGGAATAAAAGAAGAAATATGTCACCCATCACCCTACAGCGTGCTGCGGTCGTCATAAGTAAAGGTACGAGTAAAAGGAGAAGGGGGAATATTCGATAAATGTTCCACGTCAAAAAAAATCCGAGATTCGAGAAGGGTCAAGCAAGCTATATAAGTCGATAATCCTGACCATATTTTTCAGTTTTATGATAGACGTTATATGTTAATGTTATCAGTTGTATAGTTATTGTAAAAGTTGAGTTGAAATAAATTGAGATACCAAAAACCTGCGTAACAATATTCTTAGAACTAACCAGAAAATATGTATCAACCTCCGGTACAGAAGCGCCATCTTAATTTTATACATTTTGAGGGACACTTTTTGTATACAGAGATAGTTCTCCTTACCTCTACACTCCATAGACTGATCACATTCTCAACATCAGTCAAAGTTTATCTAGCCTATATATTTTAATGAACGTTGTCGCAACGGCGGTATGTTTTCATTTATTTATATTTTTTTTCTCGATTTTGATTAAAAAATCTTACATCTATCAAATTTTGTTGTATTGCCAATATTGTAATAAATTAATTTCTGAATCACAAGAAATGTAAAAAAAAAACAAATTAAAGTTTCTCGAAAACGGTGCGTCATACCGATTTTAAACAAAATTGCATTATTTTTTGAAGGTACCTGACAAATAAAAAGCTTGAGATAAAAAAAATTATAATTGATAATGTCTGTTGACCCCCATTTTAGCCCTTTGTTATTACAATAGAAAAATCAAATTTACAGCGGCCAATTGATTATTTGAAGCTTATAGTCATTGTGCAAGTTTAAACTTTTGAGATATGTTGAAAAAATTGACTCAAAGACGCCAACTTTAAAGAGATCTGGCTTTCCTTAGGAAGCATCTACTATCTAGTGTTTCCGTTTGGAAAGTAGAGTTCTGGAATACCCTGTATATAAAGCCTCAAAGCTCCACACTATAATTTCTTTAACTACACAAAAAGTTAATATTCGCCCAACATGGGTGAAGATAAGAATCTTTTATGTGCTCATATAATTTATTTTTCTTTATTTTTAGGTGGATTTTTTTGAAAAATATGTTCCAAAAAATGCAAGAGTACACCTCATTGGACATTCTATAGGCTCGTACATGATAGTAGAGATGTTGGATCGACCAAATATAGCAAAAACCGTAAATAAATCTTATCTGCTTTTCCCCACAGTTGAATATATGGCACAAACACCTAACGGAAAGATTTTAACAAACTACGTTAAGTATGTTGTTTGGTTGCTGGTTTTTCTTTCAAGAATGTTCACGTTCCTTCCAACTATAGTTCAAAACGCTTTAATAAATATTTATATTTACATAACGGGTATACCTAAATACCATTTGGATAATATAAAGCAGGTTGTGAAACCAGGTGTATTAAAACGGGTATTTTTCTTAGCTTATGAAGAAATGGATCAAGTATTACAAAGAAATGATCGTAGTATTCGAGATAATCTTAATAAAATAAAAATGTTCTATGGTGAGCACGACGGTTGGACTCCTATATCGTATTATGAAAAAATTAAAAAAGATTTTCCTGGTATCGATGTTAAATTGTCTCATTTAAATCATGCCTTTGTTTTGAATGCTAGTTCTGCAGTAGGGGATATAGTCTGTGATTGGATTACTAATAAATCCTGATTAAAATATTTATTCCAATTTAATACTCATAAATTTATCACATTTTCTTTAGTATATTTATTAAAATATATCTATATTTATTATATACAAAGGTAAAGAGGTTAAAGAAGTAAGGATTAAAATTTGTTAATTAGGCATTCCAAACAAAATGGCTACCAGTGGATTTTGACAGGTTATGATATGGCAAAATTATGGCAACCCTGTAGGCCTGGTGATTTGACAGTCAATGAAATAGGTACATAGATTGATCATCCATATTTTTCAAAATGAACATAAGCTTATGCCTTAAAGTAAAAATGTTGGTAATTATTTATTACTATATTCAAAGGCTAAATATTGGTTTGTAAACACATTTTTGCAAGATCGATTCTGATTAATGAGCACTTGCCAGGCAATATGGCAGCTTGCAAACGACCCGCTTGAGCAATCTATATAACTATATATGTATAATTGATCCTGTCAATGACAACAGGCTCACAGGGTTGCCATATCTAAATGTCAGTAGTTTGACAGGTCGTTCGAATGCCTAATGTTTATGTCAATTATTTTATACATAAAACTAAAATAAAACATTTTTAAGTATATTTTTGTTTTTGCTTTAAATCACGCAAACAACCTCAAGGAACGGTGTGCAATTTTAAACAATTTATTTTATTTGGCAAAATATTCTCTTCACTAGGAAAAATTTTGACCATGTAGTTTGTAATGAACCTATTCTTTTTTTTTCCTTTTCATTGCTTTTTAAAAATAATTTAATTTAAATATTAGTTTCAAATTTGGTGACTAATATGCTCTTTAATAAAGTAATATTTTGACATAAACTTGTTTACGCGCTATCAAGGTTAATAGTAATTTTTCCTCATATTTTTTACGCCACAGGAGTAAATATTTCTTATTTTTTTACTATTTTTTTTTTAATTCTCTTCATTTTTGGTAAATAAAAAGTGAACTTTTTATGGAGTTAAAATGAACAGTGACGCAGAAATTTGCTTCTATACTCGGACAAAATATTGAAGAAGGTGATTCCTCCCTGTTCACGTACAACAATCATACTATACCAGAGCATAATGAATGGAATCACGCGCTTAAAACTGCAGAAGTTATCGGTATCACGTGCCAACTAGTCATAAATGCATGTTTATTGCCAAAATGTATTGGCGTATAAAAACTATTGGCAAATTAAATGCGGTAATAGTAAATAATATTAGATGAAAGTAGGTTGGTTACTTAGATAAAAGAGACCAGAGATATAACATACATCGGTGTTTAACCTGCGCAAGTGTTACCAATTTCTAAAGAAAGGTTAACGGAGTGGGGGAACTGGGCAGAAACCTTAAATCTGTGACAAGGACTTTGTTTATTAGCATCATAATGAACTATTAGATTTATTTAAAATATATGTTTAATGGAATTTTGTATTATGAAATAAAATTAACGTGATTTTTTAATATCAAACAGATGCACAACATTTTATGTAAAAAGAAGACCTTTCATAGAATATTTCGTTAGCGTTTATTTACTACGGACTTTTCAGCAAGATACTACAGTAAAATGTTGAAATAGAATATTGTTAATAGAGCATGAAATAGTACTCATTGTCTACCGAGTATTATAAAAAAGCATGTGCGCAGGCGAATACTGCAAATCAAACCTTTTGAGTCAAACATTATATTTTTTCTACGGCTATTACATAATATTAAAAATTAGTCAAAATGAGAAAATGCTGTTTTGTATTGTAACCTCAGCTTCTTTCTTTAGGAATATTAATTAATATAGAGGATAAGTGATTGTCGAAATAAATAATCGATCATTGAAAATAATCGATTATTTTCGATCAATCCATTGTTTTCAATCTATTTGTTTTTCGTATTTCCTTTAAAATAGACTACTTGATTATCTTTGAAAAATCAAAAATAATCGATTAATTAAAAAGCCAATTAACCGATAAATCAGTGTTTACAAAAATTATCGTTTATTTTAAATAATCGATTATTTTCAAATAATCCATTTTTTTTTCGTCCATTGAAACAGATTATTTAATAATCTTTGAAAAATCGAAAAATAATCGATTAATTAAAAAGTCGATTAACTGATAAATCGATTTTCAAAAAAAAAACCGAATTGTCGATTATTTTAAATAATCGATTATTTTCGATCAATCGATTATTATCAATAATTTATTTTTATTGTATTTCATTTAAAATCGATAATTCGATTATCATTGAAATACCGAAAATAATCGATTAATTAAGAAGCCGATTCTACGATAAATCTATTTTCCAAAAAAATAACCGAATTATCGATTATTTTCTAATAATCCTTTTCATATTTCCTTTAAAATTGATTATTCTATTATCTTTGTAAAATCTAAAATAATCGATAAAAATCAATAAATCAAAAATAATTAATAAATATTAAAAAACTGATTAACCGATAAATCGATATTTCTAAAAAATAACCGAAATGTTGGTTATATAAAAACGAATTATATTCGATCAATCAATTATTTTCATATAATACCTTTGAAAATTTGAAAATAATCGATTAATCGAAAATAATAGATTAATCGAAAATAATCAATTAATTAAACACACCGATTAAACGATAAATCGATTTTTCCAAAAAAATCGATTAATTTTCAATTAATCGATTATTTTGAATAAACCTACTTTCTTTTTGTATTTCCTTTAAAATCGATTATTACATTATCTTGAAATTTTAAGTTATTCATCCTGTATTTTATCTAATATTCTTATAAAAATACTACTAATCAACTATGCTTCTTTACTTCTTATTTATCTACCAAAAAGAGCTAAAAACCACCTTTAGTAAATACTCTTATAAAACTACTTTTTAAAAACAAAATTTCGTTAGCAACAATGTCTATTTACTTCTTATTTAAATTAAATATTTAAAATTTTACCCTTTTGTAAATTTATGTAAGTAATACGAAATCTGTTTTCTGAAATGTATTTGATGAATATTTATTGAAATCCCTTAATGCGGATCTGAGGTATTCAGCTCAAAGGATTATGGCGCTTTATGTCAAAACGTTAATAAATATTTACCGCTGAAAACGAATATATTTTTTATATTTCATAACACTGGTACTTGCATTATAAGTATATACAATTTCTTAAGATACATCGTGGCATTTTGAGTTTAAAATTGAATAACTAGAACACTTTAAATTGCTAAAACACCAACAAATAAATCAAAAACAGCTGTCAATGGTGATTGAAACTCAGGCGGAGGTGAGTGTTGAATGGGAAATCGGAGCAATTCGGGTGGCGTCGTGCAAACAATGATTTTCAATTGGTGGGTTACTTGGAGTTAAAACAGACAACATGCGCAGTGTGCAATGTTACATCTTCGGTCTCTTTTATCTAAGGTTGGTTATCTATTTTTGTAGTAATAATCATTTATGTTTATAATTTTGTTTTGTTTATTGTTAAAATATGTAAATATGCCAGTGGCGTAGAAACACTATTGGAAAATTAAATGGGGTATTATACTAGAACAAAATATTGAAGAAGGTGCGCCTTAAAACTGCAAAAGGTATCGTTATCATATCAAATAAATGCACTCTTCCAGTATCGCAGAAATACTATATTGGCAAATTAAATGGGTATTTGTGAATATTACTAGATGAAAGTAGGTTGGTTATCTATTTTTGTTATAATAATTCATCTATGTTTATAATTGTATTTTGTTTATTATAAAAATATATTTATCACTTACTTGAATTCTAAATCCATGAAGTTTCGTAATCCATTGATTCTGCAGAACTATCACTGGAATCGTCTTTATTCGCGATTCAAGCTAAGTGATACGCCATAGAAAAACTAAACGGAGGTTAAAATGACATTGTTAATGTAAAAATGTCATTTTAAACTTCGTTTAACACAACGGTGGAATCGGTCCTAATTTAAATAACATTTAAAATCTATCGTTGGCCGAGATTAGTTATATTACAGGTAAGTTTTAGATTATCACAAGTTATCTGAGACGTTTTGTACTCAAGGCATTTCTTTATAAGCTTACCACGACATACTTCGTAACAGCGTTGTGGTTACTCTGATGACGTCAGACATACCGTGGTAACTCGTAGCACTTGTCGTTGTCACATGTCAAATCGGGGATTTGTTTACTTTGTTTTTGTTCAGATAAATAAAAGTGTTTTTGTCACAGACGTCATTTTGTTTTCGTTCTTTTGTTATTTATTTAAATATGTCTCCTCCAACAAAAGGAAGAAAAAAATGTGATGAAATAACAATGATAAATACTTGTGCCAGTAGTCTCATATTTTCATCTTTATATTTCAATATAAATAACAGTATCCAGTGGACATCAACATCACTCTCGTGAAGAGTGATTTCAGTGCCCTGTATTTCAAATGTAATTTCTTTCATAGTAAATAGAGTTTTCTTTGGTAAATACAAAAAAGCCCAACCCAAATATACAAAATGAACCATATAACCCGTAACCACAGAAAAATGTATCTAATTTAATCTCTTTACAATACTTTGCGCATGCTCGATATGTTCAAATGTGGACCTTACTGACCTTACCACACACCTTACCACTAAAAACATCATGGTTAGTAGTAGTTACGTATTTTGGTAACGTATGACGTCATGGAAGTAACCAAACCGTTTAAAGAATTGCTTTGGAAGTATGTTCTAGTAAGTTATGGTAAGCTTATAAAGAAATGCCTTTAGTTTAGGTGTAAATATCGCGATACTGGTAAAAAGCAGTATTTAAATACTGTCAGTAACAAGATTTGTTCTAATACAGCAGTTTATTGCCAGGATCTCATATAATTATCGGTTTTTATCTCGAATGATATGGTTTTTGAAAAATAACAGTTAAGACCACAGTAGATTATTGCTGGTTTCCTTGTTATCCACTCTTCATTTTAGACCGTCAGATAGCCACCGATTTAGGTGCCCCACTTTCGAATGCAAGCCTCAAAGAGGGTTGAAAAGTACATCGATGTTGAGTAGAATAAAAGAAAATTTACGAGTGGCTCTTGGGGGTAACAGATGGAAAATTCGATTTTCCTTATCAGAAAAATTTTCCGACCCTAAAATGCACTCATATATTCAGGTCATTCAAGAAAATATATTTTTCGGACCAGTGACGATGTACGTTTTCATACATTCGATGGGCTTGTGTGGAAAAATCTGGTAAAATCTCGATATTTCCTTAGAAGATTACGCCCTTATTTCTACCCTTTATAGCCACTTGCAACATTAAAGCCTTTGGTTTTCCGAAGCCTAGTTCTATTAATTAATCATATAGTAAAAACGGCTTGCGTGGAAATGTGGGCAACAAATATATAACCTTTCATTTTTGTTGGGGAAAATCGAATTTTCCATGTGTTATCCCCAGGAGCCACCCGAAAATTTACTTTCATTCTACTTAAAATCGATGTACTTTTCAACCCTCTTCGAGGCTTGCATGCGAAAATGGGGCATCTAAATCTGTCACTATCTGACGGTCTATTTGGGTACTCATTCAGTGAGTTTTTTTTTAATTACTGAAATAATTTTTTTTTTTTTTTAGTTTATATTTAAT